TCGGCCTAGCCACATAGGATCAAGTAATCTAATTTGTTTGTAATAATTACCTATTAAATAAAAAATAAGTTGTAACATTAATATGTTTTTTGAGAACTATTACACTAAGTGGACAGATATTTCGTATTTTTGGGCGCGTCAATTCCCTTTCCTTCAATCACGTAAGTGTATAACGCAAGATAAGTGTATAACATGTAAAATGCGGGTTTACGCATAAGCACAGAAGGCACTTGACTAGGGCGCTAGGGTGGAAGTAAAGGTAGAATAACGGTGTAAATAGAATAAATGTGCATAACTACTAAAACATGATGAATTAATGTTATTCATATGCATCACAATATATGTTTTAAAAATTTATAGATTTCCATTGTGAAAAATTAATGACGTAAAAATTATTATTTAAATCATATTTAATTTTAGTCATAAATGTGTCCAAGTTTTTGGCATAAATTACGCATTTGTATTATACTTCTAACTTTTTACTCAGTTATTTGAAAATATAATAGACTGCACGTTTTCGCGTGCCTGCAGTCGACAATGTTGTTAATCCGCCTCCGAGTGTAGTGTATGATAAAGCGAGGAAATGACAATATACCTTATCCCCTAGAATGCGCGGATCAGTGGCGACTAATTCTTCGGCTTGTGGAGTTTTCCACCACCGGGTATTCATGTCTGCGGAAAATCTTCCAGGTGGGACAAACTTTAAGACTCCGACTGGACTCCCAACATATGAGGTAGTGACGTGCTTCAAAGAATAAGAGTATGTGTGTAAGGGGGGAGGAGCAGGAAAGGTCGGGGAAGGAAAGATCGTGTGCGGTCCGTGACCTGTTTGTTATGGTACTACTCAGGAACACGCCAGTTGAGAGGAGAAACCACGAAAAGTACGAGACAGAGCGGGAGGTTACTAGAAATTTCCTCCAAGGAGTGGCGGAACCCTTTATGTAACTAAACCTGAAAATATGTAAACGTCGTGACTTGAACCCTGGGACCTCCTAGTTATCAACGCTGCATGGCAGAGGCAATTCTGCCACTAAGCCATTGCAGTCGGTCTGTTCGAAAGTATTACTCGCGCAACTTTTCTTGAACGATGGATTGAAAAATGCGGGTAAAGTGGGGGTAATAGTTACAAACTCGGCTACTAGATTTTGTGAAGCAATGCCGACCTCTGGAGAATCAGTCATGCCTTCGCAACGTTCTCAATAATTTGCGTTCTAACTTTCTCAGGTGTTCGAGATATTTCCTGTAATAGATCTTCACCTGCTTTGGTCAGTTCTTTAGATTTTTGGAGAAAATATCGGATAGAAGTTCTCGTCTTCAAAGAAAATTGTTTATATTTCGCGCCAGTGAAGATGTGTTTAGAATGTTGTCATTAATGCTGGCCGCGAGCTTCTGTCTTCATCTGTTAATTGTGCCAAAGAGGGGAAAGCAAGGTCATCCTTCAAGAAAATTTGCGCAAGTAATATCACTGGAAGAAGAGATATCTAAAAACCAGAGTTAGAAAACATGTAACATGATCGCGTGACTAAAATGAACGATAATTACTGTAGATGAAAAAGTTAAAAATATGAAGTGGGGAAGGTCGTACAGTTAAAACGTGACGCTTAATTTTGTAAATATTAATCAGTGTCATTAAAACGTGTCTCAGGACAACTTTTCCGTGTATCCAAAGTAGTATAAAGTCGCCAAAAATGTTCCTAACGATTGCAATGGGGAAGTACGGAAGCTTTACGCAACGTTTTTGTTTCTTTTGTTTCCGGAGCTTCCTTCCTGGTCGAGTGCTCTTTGTGTATTCACACACATTGTCTGCGCTTGGATGTTGGAAACGCGTGTCGGTCAGAGGACGCTACGAACCAGTTGTCTCACTTCCTCGTCTCGCCGCCATGTTGATGCACTACTCCATTGCCTGGCTTTTCCTCTTACTTAGCTGTTGCTACTCCCAGGTAAGTTGGTTTTTATTAGGGGTCGGTTTGTAATAAATTGTCATTTTTTCGCTTTAGAACAATGCCGTTTAGTATTAGAATTCATTTTGTTATGACGAAATGAAATGACCCATTTTTTTTTCCAATTTTTTTTCCCAATTTTCGTCCATTTTGACTAATAAGTAATTTTTTAACTTTGACGTCATTTTTACCGCATCATTTGCTTATTTAGTTGATTTTAATATCATTTTAATTGTATCTGCTTTAAACAATGTTTAAAAGTTGCAAAAAAATGTTCAGTTAGAATTCTTAAGTAGCCCATTTGATTTCTTCGCTCATGTCAGCAGTTGTGAATACAATGTAAACTAAGGTTCCTACAATGTATATCGGTGCCATTGTGAGTTCGGCCGATTACGCGATAAATTAAGGCAGACATTTTCTTTAAATAACATTTCAAATCCAACGCGTGCAAGCTGAGTTTACTTAAACAAAAAGAAGAAGCCTTGATTACATTAGTAACATATTCAACAGTTTGAGATGTTCATCTGAAGCGGAAGAGGAATTTTTTATGTCATTTTTCTTTGTTTTTACGGCATTTTTAAAGCTCTTTAAGAGCATTGTACTGATTTTTTGGCAATGTTTTCGACATCCAAATCCGCCCTCTAGTTATCTATTGAGATTGCCCTTTTTTTTGCTTCTGAATATACATAGATCTTCACTATCCGCACGTTTTTATGAAATCTTATTTTGCTTGTAGAAGTAGGAGTAGATCTGAGTGTGTGTTACAATTTTGTTAGCAATGCAGAAAAAAAAAGTTTACCGTTGCAAATAAGTGTTCTCTAATTTGAGAACAAAACGTCTAGGTTTTTAAACGTTGCTCTCGCGCTTTTTTAAATTTTATTTTTATTTGTGTGTTTGTTTGCTTTTGAAAAAACATTTATTCATAGTTCAACTATTTATTATTCAAATGTTGGAAAGGTATTCTGGAACTCAAGAAATCATGTGCAGATTATCTTTTCCCCCATATGTCACATACAGTTTTTACTTATTTTTTGAGCAAATAAATCTACGTATTTAAAACACTCCTTAATAATATGTGAACTTTCTATAAAGCCAAGTTTTGTGATTTTTTTAATCCAAGATATGTTATTTTTCTTCACTTCCATCCCCCCTCCCCCCAAATTTGAATGAATTTATTGCAAATGGGATAACCTTGTGAAATAATACATTGTCTTATTACTATCAATCGTCATTATATTTTATATCCAGAATTATTTTATATATTAAATAATTATTAACCATGTGAATGTTACGTTGTGCTCCATTCTTTTAGGATCCTTTGGTGGAACAATGTAGAAATGCATTTCCGGGAATGAAAGGTAAGTTATGAGTTTTTTTTAGAAATAGGCGTTTATTTTGATTTCATTAGAGATTTAACCCATTCTTTATTATTTATGCATGATTATAGCTACAGATGTTTATAACATTGTATCGTGAATACAATTATTGAAATAGAAGGCCTATAAATCAAAAAATTTGACATTCATGTATTTTTTAAAATATTATGCTGAAAACAATTTTGTATCTATAGTTAAATATTTTTTGGACATCAAGAATTTGGATGCTTATGGTCCATGAATGCATAAACAAGTTGCTGAATTTCATAACTTCAATCATTACTAATTTTCAGTTCGTGATTGCTGTATGACAACATTGAGTTTTTGCAATAATAGGGATATTGTTTAAATATCTGCAAATTTTTCAGCGATTAGATATATTGGAGTTATTACGTTTTAAAAAGTAATTTACATATTAAAATGCCATTTAATATAACACCAGCTAATATTTAATCTACCTTAATTATTTTGTATTTTACAGTTTCTGAAGTTACTTTTAACGGAACAGAAGTGTCGGCCTCTAGAGAAACAAAGGTATGCTTAATGAAATTTTGACGAATATTTGAAAAAAGGTGTAATTATGAAACAAATTTCCCTTGTTACAGTGTTATGTTCATTGTCTCTTCGAGAATGAAGGAACGGTGAGTAATACTTCGATTTAATTTAAATTTCATATTTTAACTATAATACCTTATAAAAACATTACTAGAATAATATTATAATACATTAGTAAAATATTATTATTTAAAATCTTTCAATCAAACAATACCTACTACAGGAGTGTTAACATAATCTTAATTATGTCGTAGATAAAATTAAATATTTCACAATATTTGGCATGTTATGCATTACTAGATATAATTCGAATTATTAACTCTCAAGTAAGCAAGTAGCATAGAGTGGTACAAGCAGACTGGTACTAGATAGTAATACTGTAACACTAGACTGGTACTAGATAGTAACACTGAATCTCTTAAGGACTGGTTCACTTAAAAATAAGAACCACTCCTGTGTCCTGACAGGAGGCCCTTACCCTTGTAGAGACTCATAGGGATTGTATAATCTTCATTCGCTCTCAAATGTTCTGAAAAAATGTTTAACTAACGTTTTTACAGATGCATGGAAATATAATTAATACAACTGCTGTGGACGAAGCATTTAAAAAAGACGCTCACAACAGTGCGCTGATAAATGCAGTAAATGAATGTAAGCAAGTGGGAGGTACGTTTTAGTTACATATGTTTTTAATATTTTCCATTTCTTACAAAAAAGGAGTAAATAAAATTCCACAGCATGAATAGATTGTTTCAAATAATCTATAAAATTATGTTGTACGAGATGATATCAACCATATCAATACCAAGAGATAAATAGTTGAGTGTATTACTAAGTAAGGTGCAAAATGCTGTGGTCACTACCGTATACATTTTAATTTATATTAATTGATGTTTCCGACGATTTTGATAAATTAATGTGTTTATGTAACTAATATTAAGCTCGTGCACTTATTTTTTAAGAAAATGTTATTTAATTTCTAACTCTTATTTGAAAACAAGATCGACTTTGTCAAGAAAGTCCCATATACCTCCTTAATGTAGTAAAGTATTAAACTATATAATACGAAGCCTTAAAATACTTCTAATGTTTTCGACTAGTTAGTCTTGCCTCTGTTGTAGACACAGAAAAGACTTATTAATATCTGAAATGATATCAATACCTGTGATATATTGCATCATATTTTGTTCAAAAAGCTTATTTTATACGAAATCAATTTTTCAGCTTCCTAAAACATTTGAACATATAAAAATAAACAATCATCAATGAACCTTTGACACACCATTTTGTAATATTAGGGATATTTATAAAGGTGGATATTTAAATACATATTAAAAAGTTTAATAAATAAATTGTGTATTTTGGCCATAAGGTACGCAATTTAGGATTAAACTGTTCAGTAACTAGTTTTATCCGAGGGCAAATACTGTTTATTCGGAATAGAGTGAATTTAATTATTTTTATAATTCTTGTAATTAATGATAAACTAGTTCCCTGCAGAACTTGAAATAAATCACAATAAATTCCATGCAAAAATATGTACCATCCGTAGATAAGACTTACCACCAAATCTAACATATTGTTCACAAAATATCTCCTGGCTCCCTCCCAACACAACTGTTCAATACCTTGGAGTTCTGTTTGATGAAAGACTTTCACATCGGCAATCTATAAAACGAGTAGCACGAGCTACTCAGCGAGAAGTCTGCAGTATGACGGCAGAAACGTTGGCATCTGTGCTTAGGACGCGGCGACTTGAATGCACGTAGGAATGCGCGGTCTTCTTTCAAAATGAGACCTATCCATTCTAGTCTGTTTTAAGAAAAACAAGAAAATGTCATATCGTTTGACTGAAACATTCTGCTGATAAATGTTTAAGATTAATGTCCTCGGCTAGTTAAAGTAAAAACAATATTATAAGATAATTCATAAATATCTAGGTATTAGGAAAAAGTTGAGGTAGATATTTGGAAAAGTCGCATTTTGAAATTAGTTGAAATACTATTTTTGGCGAAAGCGCATTTTTTCACGACAACATACTTATTTTCGTTAAATATTTTTACAAGATTGTTTTATTTTGTATTCCTGTATTTCATGTGGCATTTTTCATCAAATATGAAGATCAGCAACCCATAATCGCTGAATTCATCTCGGTTTGTCTCGCTTGGTCAATGCTTAAATCAGTTAATTTCTATAGACTAACAAATTTTAGTGACATAAGGCGCCAAATCATAGGGACACAAGGATCTCTGATTGCTGGATTGGAAAGATCGAACTTTTGCAACGAAATGAATATTATCAAAAGATTGCGTTCTAATGTTAAATTACTATTAGGAAGCCCTCTGAAGTGAACAAAAAACGCGTGTTGTGACAAACCATTTTATAGACCGACATTTTATAGAACGACGCGCAACTGCAATGGACCCCAATTGAAACCAAGATCTCATTTTTAACAAAGATGGAAAAGTTGATTTTTGGAACTAGACACCTCAAATACATCCTTTTTGCTTCCGAATAAATATTAGAATAAATATGGAATCGTCAAGAATAGGATATCGAAGTGTAAATCGTTGGCATCAGCATAACGAATCGGATTTATCACTAACATTAATAATAAAATAATAATATAATAATAATAACAATAACAATAACAACAAGAGTTAGGGACAGATGCGGCATAAGAGGCAATATGATAGACCTCGGCACCGACAAGACAGCAACTATAGCAAATATCATGACAAAACAATAAAGTTCCTGAAAGACGCCAATCTTTTCTACAAAATGTATAAAATGTTATTAATTTTAACATTAATCAGTAAAAACACTAAAGGCCTCAGCTGCCAAACCTTCAAATGAAAAATAATAAAATAATGAAAATAAAAATTAAATAATAAAATATAATAAATAAAATAAGTACATCTAAAAATGTAATGTTTGTATTTTTTATTTCATTTTACAGAAAATAATAACGATGAATGTGATATTGCTTACGCATTTGCGTCATGCACTCAAAGAGCCATTCGAACGGTAAGTAAATGTTCTCAGTCTCTTTTATTAATCTTAATATTTACACACAGACATCTTTAAAGTCAGGATATTTAATTTGAAATTATATTATACTGAATTGAAATAATCATCTAGTATGAATCTATTGGGATACTTCCAAATTATAACAATTATTGTTCATGAGATGTTGGTCAAAAAATTAGATTGACATCGCTTCGCGACATAGTACGTGACATAACATTTGACAACACATTTGAAGAAGAAAAATTACAATTTGAAATAAAAAAAACTTAGCTTGCTCATATTTCTAAACTTTACTATTCTCTCGCCAAGTCTGAATCTATAATATAAAAATGAATCGCAAAATGTGTTGGTAAGCGCATAACTCAACAACGCCTGGACCTAGGACCAATTTGGGCAATTCTTTTTTTTAAAATGTTCTTTGAAGTTCAAGGATGGTTTTTTACGTCGAGAAAAATTCGAATAATTGCCGAAAAAAAACTGAAAACAGCCTTTTTCTTTTTCTCATACAAACGTTTTTTCTAACTAAAAACGTAGAGTCAATTTGAGCTTTATAGCTGTTGTATAAAGCACTCATTGTGTTAGTGAGCACAAGCACTCATTGTTGTAGGTATGTTTCCTAACGTCAAAGAGTCCAATTTGCTAGGGTTGGCCACCTCTCCGGTTTTTGAGTTTCATCTCCGGGTTTTGAAAAATTATGTCCGGTTTTTTTTTCAATTTCAATACATTTTCAAACTTTTTACAATATAAATAGATTTTTCAACCTTAAATTTAAAGCTTTTTCTATTTCATCAGAAATCTGTCCTTTCCTTCTTCATTAGAAAGATAAAGAGCAGAAACATTAAAATTGGTCTGCGATTCTCGAGTTATCGCCATCCGCTGTCTCTTTCTTTCTACGCATATCAGACAGAGACAGCATCTAGCGATTATGCGAGAATCGCATCGCGCAAGTTTCAAGAATAATCCCCGGAATGCTATTCGATATCTTCATTTTAAACAAGATCGAATTTTCGTATTTCGTATCGACATTTCGTATCCAAAGGCTGAATATTTAGATACACAAATAACAATTTGAAATCTTTTAAAAATGAATCGAAAAAGTGTTGGTAAGCGCATAACTCAACAAACGCCTAGACCAATTTGGCCAATTCTTTTTTAAATGGTCGTTGAAGTTCAAGAATGTTTTTACGTCGAGAAAAATTCGAATAATTGCCGGAAAAAATCTAAAAAAAAGCCCTTTTCGTTTTCATATACAAACGTTTTCTAAACTAATACGTAAAGTCAATTTGAGCTTTAATAGCTATTGTATAAGCACTCTATGTTGTTTAAACATGTAGGTATGTTCCTAACGTCAAAGAGTCAATTTCACTTTATTACCATTATACAAAGTTCAAATTCAATCATATCTATCAAAAACAGTGTGCGTGTGTGCGTTGGAGCACAGAATACATCGTGTGGAAGATTTAATGTCGCGTTCCGAAACTATTAACAAAATAATTTTATAATATAGAAATGCCTCCTATTAGACGAAACAATTTAGGTAGAAGAACCCGAAATGCTACAAAACCAAGCTAATTACGATCTAATCATGCTGCACAAGAACGTGACGACCGAAATGAACATGAAAGAAATTCGGATATCACAAACGCGTGAGCGCGAGCGCTACATTCAACTAATAATCGCGCAAGTTTGAATCGAGCTGCTTTCATTTACGATGTGTCAATTGACTTACAGTAACTACCAATGTGTTGTTAATGGTTCTATGAACTCGCGTGTTGCTCATATTGTAAGGCAATGTATATAAAAACGAAAACTAATGGATTGTGTTGCGCAAATGGTAAAGTGAATTTGATACCATTGAAACCACCACCAGAGCCATTGTACTCATTTGGTTTCAGGAATAGAAACAGGATTCTATACACGTTTTGACAAATATCCAAAAATATAACAATTGCTTTCAAATGACTTCATTTGGGTCATCAAAATGTAGTTCGGGAAAATTTTATGCCAACTTTCAAGGTATTTATTATAGCAATTAATCATTATTATTTTTAATGTTCTGTCACCAAGTTAAAATGTCACTAATCTTCAATTTCTTAATCATTAAGATCATAATCATCACATAGTCAAGAAATTTACAACGAAGCATTGATTTCAATTGAGGACATGTGCTTGATGATGTGAAACAAAGTATTAATTCAATTAGTCCTGGCCGCGCCTAACCAAGAGTTGAATCGAGGAAAACTGTATGATTTCAACACTTTGAAAGAATTAATTCAAACAAATCTTCCACTGTCGAATGAACAAACAGAAGTATGTATTTGATACTCTTATGAAAGAAACAAATTATGAACTGGAGGGATTTACTTCTTAGATGCACCTGGTGGTACAGGAAAAACTTTTTTTGATTTCATTAATATTAGCAACGATTCGCTCACAAAATGAAATTGCACTTGCACTCGCTTTCGTCGGGAATCGCAGCAAACTTTCCTTGAAGGTGGTCGAACAGCCCATTCAGCTTAAAATTTGCCATTAAATATGCAAAGCAAATGAAACTCGACCTGCAACATTTCGAAGAACTCTGCAATGGCAAATGTCTTGCAGCAATGTATAAATTAATTGTTTGGGATGAATGCACGATGGCACATAA